GGTGAAAGATTCCCAACTTCTGTACTATGGTCATGTCTCATGATTGCTAGAGTATCGGTTTTGAAAAATTCAAGTTTAAATCAATATGAACTGGAGTATTTTAATAAGATCACTCTTGAGATACAGCTTTTAAGTGTACCATATTTGCATAGAAAGGAAGCATCCAGAGGAGAACAAAATGTATACGTTGAACAGAGTCATACCTGATTATGTGGTAAGTTTAACTAATGTATCAGAAGCAACTGATCATCTTGATTCAATATTCTTGGTCATTAGATTGCCTGTATTTCTCAAAGATGCAGCTACAACATTAACCTAGGAGATTAAGAGGCTCAAAAAATGTTCTGTTCATAATTTGCTTACAAAAACTTTTATATTATTTTATAGTTTTAACCCATCGTTCATCCTGAATGGCTTGTTCTCAGAGCATGTGTTGGGCTAAGCAAGCATTAATTCCATGGATATTCCCTTCAAATCACCTTTGTGTGCAAAAGAAATCAAGAGTGTTGCAGTATGTGACAAATACATTGCCTCAAAACTCAAGAAATGCAACAGAAGCCAAGTGTAATCTACTTATGAATTTTGCAACTGAAGCACAAAAATGATTTTATGATGAAAACATGGCCAAAACCAGGTAACAGCATTGTGATTTTTTTTAAGTGTACTGTGCTTCTGGTAAAACACTTCAGGGCTAAAAGCAGTAATTAGTCACATAACCTAAGATACTAATTTTACTACTTTAGACTGAGAAGCTGGTTATTTGGCATCTCATCTCAAACATTGTTTCTCTGACATTACATATAATTTCTGCTTGAATGCTCCCTACGAACTGGTGGAAAACCTGCTCCTAGAAGCTTGGGGAGAAAAGAGGTAAATATATCATATAGAAGCATAATGTCAACTGTTACTAAATAGCTGTTTTGTTTTGGTTTTTTGAGAAGGAATGCAGACTTTCTCACTCTGTACATCTCCCCCCCCCAAATTATCAAAACCCTAAAACTTATTTCCTGCAAATACAGGCCTTTTAAACTGGACTAATTTGTCATATGGCATTACAGCAAAATGTAAGTTAATGTTTCCTGACATTATGTTCAATATCTAATGTCTTTTAATATAGCTCTTTAACTTTCATTGGTAGGAGATAATTCTCCCTTCTAGGTACACTGTCTCTATTAGTCTAAGCTTTATGCTTTTTCTGTTCTTTTATTCCTTCAGAAACACTGAGAAAACTATTAAAATGACTGATAGACCCAAGGAGCCCATCTTGGGGCTTGGCATTTCCTTTCTAACTCTCATTGCTGTTTTAGCACCCTCCTCCTTTCCGTCAGAGGTGCTTGCCGTTCCCGACCTTGGCACACCCCTCTCCCATCCTCTGTCCTCTGCTGCATCTCCTGGAGTGGTTCCAATTCAGCAAAGCTCTCAAGTGCCTAATCCTCCTTGCTTCTCCCTCCTGCTTCACTCTCTGTATGTTTACTACCTTACCTACCACACATTTTTCCTGTCCACATAGACCATAGATTCCTCCAGCAGACCATGTTTATGCACGATTTAGCATCATGGTGTAGACATCCCTATCTCAATACTTACAAACCAACAGTCACAACAAACGTGATGCCAATTTTTAGCACGTGCAGTGTTCTGCAAAACCAGCTGCTGCGACTATTATTTACACAGATGTATCTGTGTCAAGCACGAAACTCTACCACTGCCCATAACATAACCCAGAGCTTGATATGAACTGCAGTGTAGACATATCCTGATACACCACATAGGCTACTTAGGGATACAAAATGAAGAACAGATCAAGAACTCAGGAGTCCTGTCTCCTGGAATTCAACTATAAATATAGGTCACTTCCTTTTTAATACGTAGGTCAGATCTTGTTACTAAGAAATAAAGCTTCCCTCAGTGAATTGCTTGATGTCTCTCTGCCTCAGTTAACCCATCTCTGAGCTTCCCTGGCCAGTTGTTTCCCTCAGAAGTGAAAATGAGCTTTAAGTCATACAATCCTGTCAGGTTCTTTGAGCTCCTCATATATAAAATAGTCTGCAAAACTGGAATGGCCTTACTGTGTGAGCAGACCCCCAGGGAGACTCACTCCACCACTGACCCAACACAGGCTCCTGAGTGCTGGAAATCCCTGCTGCAGCTTTCCTTCCATCGCAGTCATTCTTCACGGAAATGCTGCTACTCAGCAGATATAAAACATTTGGGAGAATTTGCAAGGGAGGTTCTAGGCATACAGGAGAACAACATCTCACACATAATCCCCTGGAAACTGAGCTTCATGACCTTGCAGTGCTGCAGTTTCCTTCAGAAATTATTTTCCCTTCTGCACTGAGAGAAGCTGCACCAACAGCCTCAGCTTGGTGCTACTGAGTGTCCTTTCCTAGCGCTGCAACTTGGAGAGAATTCAGAGCACCAGAAACGTGACTAAGAGGCTACAGTGACTGGGAGGAAAGATTGAAAGTCTGAAATACACCTGAGAAATGCTTTCCTGGGGGAGTCACAGAATGAACTGCCAGAAAGCTCAAAGACAAATCCCCCCTTTGCAGCTTTCAGCTCGTTACAAGGTTACAAAAGCTGATCTCCATCCATGCCGTTTCTTTCTACGCAACACAGGGCTTGACTGAAGAGATGTTGAGTTCACAAAGGTTAAAGGTGGCTGCTTCAACCAACAAATGGGATTTAGCAAGAGGGCAGGATTGTTGTTCTTTCTTCTTTCAGGAATGAAGTGTCAGGAAGATGTGGAGGTCAAACAGGCTCCTGCTGAGCAGCTGAGTGATCACACCAGCTGCGGAGGGTGCTGGGGCCATGCAAGACCCGGGGGCTCTCACATTTGGGAAGGGTATGCCATCTCCTTTTCCCACATCTGAAGGCAGAGGAATAACAGTGAGAGCTCCATTGGGAAAACAGGGTCCAAGCAGTTTAACTCGGAATGCAAAGTGATGTGCAGGAATTGAGCCATGCCCTGTGGAGAGACGTCTGCTCAGACCTCAGGGGGTTCCTGAGTGGGAGCCTAAATCCGCTCCTGGCTGAAGGGAACGCTAGACTAACAGACAGTCCTCCCCTCCCTTCTATCCCCACAAGGGATAGATGGACATAAACGTTTGCAGAATTGGCTAGATCATTTTGAAGACTGAAAGGAGGACTGAAAAACAACAGACCTAGGCTTGCATTCATACAAACCCCTAATAACCTGTATGACTGAAGTGAGCGGGTGTTATACATACAACAATGTAATTAAAATACTGGGCATTTGCAAAATGTTCTGGACCCTGACTTGGGTTCTGCCAGTGCCTGGAACATTTGCAGCATTCATAAATTCCCTATAACCTGGCCTTTCAGAAAAAGAGCAGTGTGGGGGTTTTCCTCCTGCCAGTGAGTAGGAAATATGTTTCAATGTTTATTCTCTAACACAATATAGCAACAGATTTAAATGTTGAGGAGAGTTCTTCCTAGAGAATGAATTAGGGTATCAGATATTTAATATTTTGCAAGAAAGTCAAGATTCACATGACAGAACAGAATTTGATGTTCAGAAAGATCTGGAATAAACCCACTCGATTTCTTGGAAAAGGCCAAGCTCTAAGAACGAACAGATATATCAGAATAAGCACACCTTCTTCTTTTTTCCGTTTTTCCCGATTCCTTGAAATGTTACAATTCTGAATTATACAGAAGCCAAATAAAAGCCCCTGTGAAAAATGAAGGCTCCATATCCATTTGCTGAAACTGTATCTATGAGAGAACACAAAACCCAGCACGAAGGGTGGAAGGGGAAGAAGTGCACACAAGCAAGGCCTGGGGGAATAAGTACTGGAAATGGCTGCAAGCAGATTATGGAAACATGGAACATGTGCATGCACAAATTGTCATTAAAAACATGGAGAACAACCTTGAGAGAAGTTGCAGTTACACCAACATAGCAGGGTTTTGGGCATTCCCAGCTGCCACACTTCTGTGAAAAAGGGCTTGAGGACAGACAGATTCCTTGTTAATGTCTTTTCAACTGTGATGATGGCTCTGGAGTCTAACAATCTGCTTTCTGTTAAGAAAAACTATAAAACTTTCAACAAAAGATGAAAAACATGTCTTCCATTGGCATAAAAGCAGGAGATTTCCTTGCAGGAAGGAGAGGCACATTTAAAATTCCCTGGAAAGTAGAATACAGAATAACTGCAGCAAACTCCAACTCTCAGCAAATACATGTGTTACAAAGCTAACAAAACAAACAAACAAATATCACTCAAACCTTGCATGTGTGTGTGCACAAGCCAGGCTTAACACTTTCTTTAAATTTAGGATTAATCTTAAATTACATATAATCAGTGAAGTCCTTTCTTATGTTTATTTCCCACTTACAGTTCTTGAAATTTGGCAATTTGTTTAATTCTGTGTTAGGGCTTTTTCCAAATCCAAGACTTGTGGAATTTTATTAACATTGCAATAAAAATAACTTTATGGTGTTACAGGGAAACATTAAAGCCTTTTTTGTGTGCTGCTCTTTCCTTTTAAAAAAAAAATACAGACGTTTCTTTAAAAGACTCCATCTGCAAATCCCATTAGATGTGCATATAAGGTTTCGGATGATTAATAGTTGCCTGCTTTGCTTTGGTTGGAGGCACCGAGTGTATGCACGTTAACCCCTCCCTCCCCTCTCTCACATTTCACTTCACAAACTTGTCACTCTCTCCCCAGCACAGTATTTAAAAAGTCTTTCACTGATGTCCAGCACTTCACAGGGAGGCAAGCTTCAGGCCCTGGGAAGCGATGCAGGACCATCACTGCACAGACCTGGTTACCGCTTCCCAGTCAGGACGATGAAGATGTCTAGAAGACAAATCCGCAACAGCCTAAAACCCACAAACAAACTGTTGTTTAGGAAGAAAATCTATTCCGTAAAATTTGGAAGATTTTTCCCTCTACTCCTCTTCTGAATCTGAAGCCTGAGCTATAACCAGCCACAAACACTGGAGCGGGGACGGGACTGGCCGCAGATGGATCCCACCAGCAGCAGCTGCATGCGCAGCCCACAGCCTCCTGCCCCGCTGTGGGGGTGCCTGCGGAGCACCCACGCGGACATCACCGCAGCTTCAGGGCTGAACCACTACCCGCCAGTACCATTCTCCTTCCATCAAAGACCAGATTTTGCAACCTACTCTGATTTATCAACCTCCTGCCTGGTGACTGCTCCCCACAGCTTCCCATGCGAGGAGCGGGCGTTTGTGGAGCAGCACCCCTCTTTCCAGCACGCTGACTGGCATTTTGCAGCAACTGAGGCCAGAAGACTACTAAATCCAGGACTGGCCTTGAGTTCTGGGGAGTCAGAGGGCAGCAGCCCAAATCTAGCGAGCGCAGCAGTGGGTATGAATGAAGACGATGAGGTGCCAGTAAATACTACAAATGAGACTGAGAAAAAGTCATCCAAAAGAAAAAGGGAAAACTCAGGTAGGTGGCATGAAATCAGGGTTGTGGGATAGTACAGGCTATAGAATGAGAGCACCTGTAAGATTAGGAATTAAGAAATAAAGCTGATGAGGAAAACATTTTGTAATTCTTGACTGGGGAAACTTACACAATAACACCACTGAAACTAAATGGCTTGGGTTTTGATGACCTCCGGTGTTTGTATTTCACTCCTTCGATCTTGTTAACATTCGCTGTAACTAAACAGGAATCACACAGGATGTATACGCTGAGCTGAAAGTCCTAGGATGCAGAGTTATAGACTGCATCCCTGCCGTTTGTCCAAGTGTAAGAGAAGAGCAGTCAAAGAGTAAAGATCCCTCACCTTGAGCTGCCCGTGCTGGTTGGAAATGTTATACTAGGATTATCTCAGTTTATGGAAAGAAGTACAGGACGCAAAGTCTCGCTTTAGATATAAATTCTATTTGTCCTCACTAAGTATTAAATGTTTTTACCTCAAAACAGGAGGTACCAAAATTTTGCCGATCAGTACGATGTCAACAACACAGAAGATGTAGATAGTTTTCATTGCGTCATCCTAGCTAGCAAAACACATTCTTTATACAGTGCATTATTCAATAATTTCACAGTTATATAACCTCTGGTTTGATGCTGTCTCAAATCCAGATATGTGAGATCTGCATAAAATTGTTTTCTCCTAAGGAAGCTGTTAAGAATTAAGATGTTTATGTGCATTAATTCGCTACAGTATTCATTTACAAGTTACAGTGTGCTTTTCCCCACAGCACTGCTATGAAGTGGGGAATGTTTTCCAGTATCTCCATTTCACAGGTAGAGAGCACAGCAACAAAAATATTTATTTAATTTTAGTTTTTACAGAAAATCCATTTCTAATCCAACTTTCATTTCTCCATTTTGCAATTTAAACAAGCTTGTATTTGCTCTCTCTCTGTCACACAATTAGTCCTAATCTCTGTTCTCTTGCAATATGAACGGGCTGTCAGGGAACACATAACTAATATTGCAATTCTTGTTAAGCTCAGAATCTCATTTACTCCTGTCAGTTATCTGTTTTTTCTTTAGAAACCCGGCTTTGTAGAATTTAAGTTAATTTCTATTGAAAAAGAGTGCAAAAATTTCCCAAAACTCAAATGCAAAGAAGTTTAAAAAAAATTTTTAAGTGAACAATGCTTTTATTAAAACATTTGCTAGTCATAGGTAAATAGCAGATTTCAGTGTATTCAGTTTAGAGGGATATGCTTATTCTTAGAGAGAGTCATTCCAAAGCACATCTCCCTGTTTCAAGTAGAAGACAAATGTTCCTTCTGTTCTCTGTTACCAGCACCCTTGACATTTTCTTCTCATACCTGCTGCTGTCCCATATACATTTCCCTCCAGGGGAGATGTAAGCAATGAAAGGTATGGCGTTTCCTACCTTCTAGTAACTGTTGCTGTTGTACAAATTGTTATTCTGGCAAATGCAGAAAAATTAAAACATCCCACAGGGGATTTCCATGGCTTTTCAGTCCACTCCCTTGTTTCTTACCAGACAGCAGACAGAATTATTTGATATCCCTCCTGCAAGCTTTTCCTTCCTTCTGTACCCAGACAAAACAAAAGAAATTAGGAGGAAGTCTCTCAGCAACTTTATCATTATTTCCTTCACCTCTACAGCAGTCCCAGAAATGCAGCTGGAGGTATCACAGGCAAATTTTTTAAGTGGAACATAAGTCTTTTCTCTCCTATTGAGAATTTCCCTTGACTTCTTTAGAAAAATCCAGGTGCCCAGAGCCTTCTCTTCAGAGATCGGGCTCATAAAGAAAAATATACTGAAATCTCTTGAAGATAAACCCTCCCAAATAAACTATTTTATTTTAGTTGGTGCCTGAACTGCAATACAGATACAGCATTACCATGATTGGTACTACTGTGTGCAAGAACCTTTGCTTCTTGTGAAGACCCTGGTTATTGAGATACACAGTGAAGATCTTCGAACATGGCTCTTTGCAGAATAGACTGGGAAAAGTCTAAAATAAGCATATTTCTCAGACAAATAAGCAGAATTGTGTAAAAATAACAAAGCAGCTTGTCAATCTTTAAAACTCTCTTTGAAGCAGGGCTGTATTAAAAACATCTACAGAACGGCTTTGTTATGGCAATAACAACAGTGGCACCTGCTACACGGATTCATGGATGAACATGCACGCACCCTTCCCTTCCTCTACGGACTTTAGTTATTTAGATGCCATATTCAGTCTTGACTTTACAAGATCACCCAACAACCTGAAGACAGAAGTTAACCTAGTGTTAGCTTTCACAGTTGCCTCTGCTGTCCAACCACAGTCCACAGCCATTAACATTTTCAAACAAAATTTCAACTGAGTTTCTGTCTGGCCTGTCCTAAATTGTACTTGTGTTATTAGGCATTTGAAGTCCTCTGATCTCTGACAATAGTAATATAATAATAGTAGAATTCAGACAGCTTTATTTGATGTGAATGAAACAATACAGAATGTTAGCCAGGTTGCAGTAGAAACGACAATGTGATAACAGTGCGTAATGACTCCCTTAACAAGGTTAGACATACAATGTCCTTGACTGAAGAATTCTGGAAATTTTTTTGTTAAAATGTGTAGAGCTGATCTGAATTCCCACCTGACAACATTTTTCAGTCAGTGTCAAGACTGAGAAGAGAATTTTCTAAGCTTGCGGTTCCCATTTACAGTCACGGTGGCATAAAAAGCGAGAGGTGAGAGTCAACAGCAGCAGGCAGCAGCAGATAACCTGAGAAAGACCGAAAAGCAAAGTACAGGCAAGTCCCTTGTCAGTTTAAAGTGGTCTGGGTGCAGAATGTCATGTGTCATAGACCTCCGTATAAAGCTTCCATTGGGCATTATTCCATGAGGTGCATGTTGAAGTAACTTCTGGATACTTTATCATCAGCTGCATTATTTATGAGGTCACTTTACTAGCCAATGTTCCTGAGAGCTTTCAGAATTTTATGTTCCATAACAGCAAAACCTATCAGTGTCCTACTACTTGATTTAACCACTTAGAATAAGTGTACCCTCAAAGTCTTTAGCATGGGGAAAAAAGATGCTTCATATTTTTATTTTACTTTCTTCTGCTGAGGTGAAAGTTGCAGACATCAACAGTAGTGTGCAGAATAACAAGCACCAGGTGCATTCATTGATCTGGGCTGTGGATCACCACAAACACCTGGCTAACAGGTAGGATCCTCACAAACAGGCATTAGCTACCTCCCTAATTCTTGAGGTGCTCTCTGAGCAATACAAGGACCCTCTGTGGTGACAGAATCCTGTATCTACACAGTTCAGAGTCCTTACACCTACCTCCACACCACTGTTTACTGGCTGTTGTTATCAGACCAGTTCAGCCCCAAGAGGGAGAGCGAGTACCTCCTGAGATCAGACTCTGGTTTGTTTAAGCTGGTCGTAGGCACAAAGCAAAGCCAACTCCTGCAGACCCGCTCCAAACGCTGAATTTGGCCCATTGTTTTGCAGGGAACAGGCTGCATCTTTATACATAATGTACGTATTAGTCCCTGAGACAGTATTTGTTTTGGAAACCTTGTAGCATAGGCACACGTACCACACGGGCTCCTACAGGTATTTTGCTGCAGTGGGGGAAGGCGGCTGCTCAGTTCAGCCACACAGGGACGCTGGTTAGGATCCTGGAAGGCATGCTTCACAGGAGATGCAGATCCTCCTGGGATTCCTGAGCAGCTTCTTTTTTCGAGCTGCTAGTACAGGAGGAAAATCTTTCCAAGCCAATTCGTCCTTTCACATTTCCCATTTTCCACATTCCTTTGTCAAAACTCTGAAGCAGCGAGGCCCAATATCCACTTTTGGGATATCATAAAACCTCCAGTCACAAATAACCACATGTCTCTTTACAACACCATGTGGCACACAGCCTGGATGACAGGATCCAAGCTACACATCCTGCTCTCTTCACAGAAATATGTAGCTATTTAAAATTATTTGTGTTATTTCTTGGAGATGAAAACCTGTGAAAGTGCCTCTTAGAAAGAATGTCCTTTGCACAGGGCTAAGTGGTGAGCTCACGTGTATATTCAGGTTGCATGAGCTATTTTTATCCCAGGTTAATTTGACTGAGGTGGTTTTAGTGCCTGCAGTGTGTTATTAGCATTGCAGAGCTGCTTCACCCCTCCACGTATTTGCTAGCAGAGACCCAGGGGCAAGCCCTTGAGACCAAGGCTCCCAGAAGCTGGTGGCAAAGGAACATCTGGAAGATGATGCTGTGTGTCGTGCTCATTGCTACCGTTTTGCCTATCATCTCTATGTAGAAATATTATGCTAGGACACACAGAACTTCATCGCACACTGCTTACACAAAAAAATCAGTTAATCCTCAAGATAACAAAAAACCTACTAGTATCTGCAGTTCAGCAGATCTAGCCAACCACAGGAGCAAGAGGGGAGATAGAGTTAAGGAACTGGTAAACTGACTCCCTGAAAGATAGGTAATTTGGGTTTTGCTCACTGAAACAAGTGCATTTTTCCTTTCATTGCTTGGAGATCTGTCACAAGCACCAATTTAAAAAACACAGGGGAAAAAAAAGAAAAGAAAAAAAATTAAAAAGAGCAAAAAAAAGGAAAATAAAAGAAAAAAAAGAAAAGCAAAAATAAAGGAAAAGCAAAAGATTGCCACAGTCTCAGGCAAAGTCAGTTTGTGTTTGCTTTTTTAGCATAATTGGTGCAGCATCTCTTTGGCTATGGCTTGAAATTTGGCTTTGACATTTGACTCTTGAGCACACTGCAGCCAGGTGCACAAATAGCAAAGAAGTTTTTCAGGGAAGCACAGCGACAAGGACGATACCGGGGCCGAGCCTGCGCCCAGATACCAGAGCTCCTTGTAGTGTTCGTTAACGAGGATGACAAGCAGCTCGAAGTCTGGGGTATCGTGTGCCGAGTTACGAACGCTGGTTCTCCGGCGCTGCTGGTTTTGCCGTGTTCCTCACGCACACGCAGTGTTTCCAGGCCACACACCAGCCTAGGGTGGTTCCCAAGAGACTTCCCCTTCCCCTTCCTGACCCTGCAGACCCAGCCCTGCGCTTCTGCAGCTCTGACAACAACCCCTCCCTCGCTCTGAGCTGTCCCACGTCTGTCCCTTGAGCCCAACTGACAACGCCGGTGAGTCCTGCTGAGCTCGAGGGGTGTAACACCAACTTCTTTAAACTTCCCCGAGTTTCTATCAGACCTCAGACCAATGTAACTGCAAATTACACAAAATGTGTGCTTGTCTCCTAGAAAAACAGACCTCGAGCAGCAAGGCAGAAACAAGCAGCAGATCACGGAAGGAAAGGACGGCTTTCACAAAGGAGCAGCTACGGGAGCTGGAAGCGGAATTTGCCCACCATAACTACTTGACAAGGCTCAGGAGATACGAGATAGCTGTGAACCTGGATCTCACTGAGAGACAAGTACTTCCCGAGCCCCTGCCTCCCCAGCTTCTTCCTCCCCCACAACTTCTCCCTAAAGCTAGAACACAAATGGGTTATTTGAGGGTGTACTTTTGCAATGGCACAGAGGTATTTTAATACAAAGCCTCCACATTATTTTAAAACACATTTGTTACAAATTTCTGTAAGTAGTTAATAAACGTAATTATGTTTATCTAAACTAAAGACATGTTTGGGAATAACTGGCATCTACCGAGCTGTTGTTCACTGCCACTCATTGGTACATGCTGATATGTCAAGGCTTACAGATGCAATATGGATTATCACCTTTGGCTGCGATTACCAAGGAATTGTCAGAATGATGTTTCATAAATGCATTCATCCTGGGACAGGTAGTGTTTTGAGGTGATAAGTAAAGACAAAATTGCAGAGTTGTGGAGAGAGATATTTCTGTTCTCTCATTGTGATCCCAGTCAGGGTTTCCTTATCAAAGCTTAGTGGACAACAGAGGAATTGCTCAATTAAGTGAAGCAAATTACAATTCCTGAAGTGTTACCTTGGATGGACTAGATGTTAAAAGACAGCAGATGCACTGTGCATTGGAGTGACATGCTTAGCTGACATTAAGACAGGTTCTAGGCAAAGCTCAGAGAAACACCTGCCTGGACAAGTTTAGAAAGAATTGTTCCTGCCTTTGTTTGAGAGATGGATTACTCAAACTTGTGAGGTTCCTTTCACCTTTTCTTCTAGAATTCCACAAAACATCTATCTACTGATAAACACAGATATGCATAGGTCTGCTTATAGAGCTCAGATTGAAGCAGTAAGTAATTATTTCCTTTTTATCACCCAGGTCAAAGTATGGTTTCAAAACAGAAGGATGAAGTGGAAACGTGTTAAAGGCGGACAGCCAGTGTCCCCACACGAACATGACACAGAAGATGTGGACTCTGCTGCCTCCCCCAGCTCTGATTAGTCCTTGCAGAAATAGGAGAGGAGTACGGAGAACGTAATTGAGCAGAAAGTGGATGCAACACTGCTCCTGGCCAGCTACACCATGAGATGATCCTGCTTGCAAAATCTGTAGCCTTGAGTCTTTGCAAGGTGTACGATGCTTTAGGTTACAGAGACAAGTGAAGAATGCAGGGAAAAAAAGCCAAAGGAGGGCATGGGTTTGATCTTTGTCTGAATGGATTTAACTCTCTCTGGAATTGTCTTACTAGCACAGAATAAAAGCTAACAAGCACTGAATATAAAACAGGAGCAATGTTGTTGGGAGTCTCAAACACGCAGAAAATACAGGTTGTCAGTCAGCAAGTGATAATGCAGCTGTACTCATATCCAACCCTTCCCTGGTCACATCTATTCATTCCACATTTGAACTTGACAAGGCACGTTTTCTTTGTGCCTTACTTTAAGAGAAACAAATACTTTGATAGTTGATGAATTTAACACCTCTATGGCTAGGCAGTAAAATAAAGCAAGATAAAAATTTTGGGTCAAAACTATACACACAGAATTCTGCTCACCAGTTTCAGAAGAGATGGCTTTCATATGGACGGTCCAAGAGGACAGGTGTCTTGTTGATGGTAGCAATTTGCAGAGGGAGATTTCTTCCAAGCTCACTGTAAATCCTGAAATTAAATTGCTAGATCTCAATTTCAAATATTTTTTCAAAGCAGTCATAGCAGAGATTAAGTCCTCAACACAATAGCTATAACTATTTTGTTTTCAATTTAATTAAAGGGAAAAGTACTTTTTAGTGCTCCCTTTCTTTCAGATTTATGGAATCTCTCTGGAAACCCACGGTTTTCTTTGTGCATTCAGGATTGTCAGAAGAAGCAGAAAACAATGATATCTGGAGTGATTTAATGGAGTTTACGGTCTACAAATTCTCATTTCATTTTTCATTGGAGACAAAACTTTCCTCCAAATAAACATGCATATCAGTATATTCAAATTACTTATTAAAAAAGCTGTTAATCTAGGCATTGTGTGGATTACACTCATTACTTACTGTCTTCTAAATCACTATCTGGATTTATGAAATTACAGTTGTGTGACCAGTTTAGCCCTTATTGCAAACTTCCCATTAATAGGGTTTTTTGGGGAATTTTTTTGTTTTTAGTGTTTGCAACTGATCAAATATTTCATACAAATTAGTAGTATCTGTGCTTTTTAAAACAAGTAAACAGGTTGTGTCTTTGATCACCTCTGCCTTTGACAGGGTTTGAGGACACCAAGAAATTTTAGCAGCAATGCTTAAAGCCACGAAAACTGACACAGCCAACTGCCCATACTTCTAATACAAATAATATGTAAAAGAAGCTTTCCAATACAGGATCATAAAGTGCCATGGCACCACCAGAATTCTTAAGAACATTTCCACTTGAAATTATCCCCCCCTTTCAGCCGAAATTTGTCATATATCAAATCATATAGTTTTAGAAAAGCTGCAGAAGCAGCTTATTTTGTGATTAAAACTTTTGGGCCCTTGGCTACCAACATAAACCAAAATCATCTCCTCACCCAGAAACAAGGCTAATAAATCTTCCCTTTCAAGGAAGCTGCCAGTGGTAGTATATTGCATCCTAATTCACTTAAAAGCCAGTCGATGGGAGCTCAGTCATACCCGTAATTACAGTTCCTGAGCAGTTCTCGCTCTGGCTTTTGAGAAATAAGGTACAAATCACCTGTGAGATCATTTTATGCTTAGGCAGTTTCCACATGAAACCATCTGCTTAGTCTAAGACATCAGTGTTTTGTGAAGGAGCATTTCAGTCCTGACATCAAAGCATCTGACCCCTGAACCTCTGGTGCCAAGAATCTCACAGGCAAAGTCTGTTGTCTGGGAGCAAAATCTCTGACCTGCAATTATGTTTCACAGAAATACACATCAGGCTTTATTCTCCTCACAGAAGGGAAGTAAGCTACCTGGGGATGTTTGACAAGGTTTCCCATGCCTGATTCTCAATAAATAATCTGAGCACACAATCACCCACATAACATCAGAAAGGTCTGTCAGGTCTTCCACAGGAAGCACACAGGCAGAGAAGCAAGACTTCCTCCCCATAAAAGGGCAGCGCAAGCAGCCCGCAGGGAATGGGGATATCTGTATAAACACAAAAATATGTGCTGTAGCCCTTTTACGTCTGTGCTGCCTCTTCTAAATACAGGAAGAGAAGCACTTTCCTTAGAGTCACATTTTACGGACATTTTATCTACCTAGCCAGTTGCCAACGCGGCACAAGCCCTGATCCGTTTTATGCAGTTTCTGCATGCCATGACGCCCCTGTTGTCAGCCCTCAGTCTCCCTGCCTCTTTCCACAGCAGTAAGCTAGTGATTTTTCCAGTCAATAGAGCTACTTGGACAACTTTAAAATAAATCAAATGTGTCCTGTACTCCTGCGTATACACTTGACGAAATCTTAGACAGGTCCCCAAACTCACCAGAAAAAGTTTAGATGTTCCATAACTTTACAGAATTACTGATTTTCAATGTCAAAGGAAATCTTTTAAAAAGGGCACCCAGAAAATGGTCAAGATTAGTGTTTTGGGTGCATCTCTCAAGTTTCCTATAAGGTTACACTTGACTGCTTGCTCTCTAGTTTGACCTATAGTCTCTAATAAATCCTCAGGCAGTTTATCTTGCAGACGAGATGAGAGAACACATACCGACCTCATTAAGCCAGGTGCCCACAACTGGGTGGCAGGCATATGAACTTTAAGAGGTTCTCTCTCTTTTGACATTATAAGCAAAGATAAGCAGTATGGGTGAAGATTGCTGGGTACAGAACCTACATAAGCAGCCTGAGTCACCCCCCAATTGTGAGTTCTGAAAATGAGCAAATGAAACTCACACCTCTCACAAAACAACACTTTGACACGTCCCCAAGATCTCCACACTATGCTATCAGATACTGAATAGCAATCACAAAATAAATAATTAAAAGAATGCCAACTATGAAGGAAACCTGTGAAAAAACCTGGATACTTCTTTTTCTATGTTTAACAATCCGGAGAAGCAATTTGTCAAAAAAAGTAAAAGGCAAAGATGCACAGCAGAAGCACAATAGACATCTATACATAGGTATACATATCTAGAGAGAGAGAGCACACAAAAGACATTTGGTATATGATGACTTCTGGAATTAAGATTAAACCAAAAAAAATAAAAAAAGAAATCCATATTTCAGAAAACCCCCTTCTTATTAAAAATCACTTTAAATTATTTAGACAAAAGCAATTAAGTTGGCATTGCAACCTTCCTGTGACCTCTAGTTTCTAGAGAAACAACATTGCAGCGTCCTGTTTCTGCTGTTTGGAGCATAGAGATCCTTTCAGGATGAGTTACACAAATCTAGAGTAGCTACCTTTACGCACTTTTCAACAGCCTGGCCTCTCCTCGTCACTCGGTGTCACCCTCTGTGCGGGCAGCCTCAATCCACACCGTTTGCTGCCCTGTAAGGTGGGTCTCTAGAGATGCACCGACACCGCTCGCCTCAGCCCCTGCGGCAGGAAACACTCGGGGTCAGGCCTGACCAGGGAACGTTACTTCACTGAGTAATGAGACAGAGAGGAACCCCACACAGGATATGGCTGTGTTCTGTCAAACTTTATTTCAGTGTACCTCTTGGCCAAGACATAATCGAAATCTTCAGCTGCAGAGTTACTGCTTCAGCTGTTGGATATCTGGTTTCTGCCCATCCTTTCTCACCACGCCATGTGGTTAGTGCTGGATAAAACGATGCTGGCTTCAGCACAACACACAGCTTGTGGTTGTGCCACGGGACCACTGATTGACCCTGTAAACTGCTAGAAGAGCTATGTCTGGATTCTCTGCCCAAATGATAAACACAGGCAAACACGCTATAGCCACCCATGTGTGCGCACTGAGGAGATACCAGCAGCCTGCGCCTTCTGGAGGAAGCTGCCACTGCTCTTCGATTAGCTGTGCAATACTGGGAGATAACGTAGATGCCCCAGATAGCATGTCTAGATACCCCATGTAGTTTAGAATATCCTATATTGTATTGTCAAATCCCACGGTCCCTATAAAAGCGACTGCAATTCTCCTTTTTCCATATCCAGGAGTAACAGAGATCTTTTCTTGACCTAGCCACGAGAAGCATGTATCTTACAGTAATAAACAAATTATGCAGAATTCTGACAACAAATACTTTACAGCTACGGAGTGTTGCCTGTATAGATGATCATTGCAAGTGTGGACAGAAAGGGAAAAATCTTTGGCACATGGGGTGAGTCTGTACATAGACATGCACAGGTCATGGCATGCGAGAGCGCTGCCCTGCGACTCCCCTGGCTGGTATTTCCTTCACTGATCATGAAGGCAATCCTGCAGTTTCTTTCGGAATTAGAAGCTCTCCCTTTCCACCTCCTAAGGCCAAGTATGATCACGTCTTCCTGGGTCTAGGGGAGTGACACCAAACATTAACCTCTGCTGAGATGCTGCTCTGCTGCAGAAACACCAGTCTCTGTCAATGCAATGTGGAAAAAACCCCAGCCTGCCGTTTTTCTCTTTTCACTGGATACACATTATCACGTGGCTAGAAAAGCCTAACGTTTTGTTAGGGAGTGCAAAGGTTAACACACACCAGATGGCAGAGAAACTTATTTCTGTGGAAGCTGGAGAAGTGTTCAGCTGAAAATACATCAGGTTGGAAATCTGGGGAAGAATGACCAGAGTTTTCTCAGCATTTTACACAGGAAAAAAAAAAAAAAAACAAAAAAAAAAACCAAAAAAAACCCAACCTGGTCTGAATGCAAACCACTGAAAGTCCTACTACTCTTTGAGGTCTCTAGAGCTGCCATGTCTCATGGAGCATTACGTGTGTTTCATATAACACACTGGTCTACAGCCAGCTTGAGAATTTGCGTGTGTATGACACTCTGTCGAGACAGGTAGAGCCCTCACCGAGGGCATGGTGCTAGCTGCTGAGCTCACACACGGCCATT